AACGTTTTTCTTTGCTAAAGAACATATCAGAGAGACGAACAAAAAAAGCCTCTCCTCGTGGTAGAGAAAAAACAACACGTATCACATTAAAAAAAAAACAGTTTTCCAAGCCCCAACGGCAGCTAGTCCAGAACTCTTAAACCACTCGACAAAAGTATTCCCAACCATAAAATTGTCAAGTGCACAGCCGTACAAACACGGCAAAAAGACAAACAGTCGAGGCGGACCCCCTTCCAGCCTCCTTTTTAGCCCCATTACTATCGCGGAAAAGAAGGGAAGATAAAAAAAATGAAGAAAAGAGCTCGCCATCACGAAAGGATTAAAGAGAAAAGGCTCGTGGCATCGGGAGTAATTTTTTGTAAACCGCCGACGGATAATCGCCACGCCGTAAAAAAAAGAATGAAACCACACGAGCGCGATAAGATAAATAAGTCTTTCTTCGAGGGCCTAAAAGTCCAAATCGAATATGCATTCATCATTCGTTTCAGTCTTAGCGACGATGTGGCCTTAATTTCACGAGAAATGCGACAAACTGCCGTTTGTCAACGTCGGTAAAGCACGGCGCGATGCTCTCTCTCTCGGGAAAGGGCTAATTAAAACTTCCTTCCAGCAGCGCCGAATTGCCGTTACCTCTGACTTCTGGACGATCAATAGCCTCGCGCGGCAGCAGGGGGGCTAGCAATGGAGGAGGTTCTGCAATCAACGCGAGATTTTATTGTGACACGTGCTGAGGGATAATGGACAGAGAGCTGCTCTACTTCTAATTGTGATGGATTTGTGTTTTGGCTTTTTGTTCATTTCCTATCCTCATCAATTTCCTTGTCTAATACCAGCGATTTCTAGTACACACTATCACCTAGAAGTTTCTCTTCTTTTTTATCTAGTTTCCTCTATTTTTAACGAAATGAAGCTTTTTATTTGCATACGTTTCTTTAAACTATGCTGTTGAATCTGTGAAAAAATTATATTTATATAAAATTACGAGTATTTTCACAAAAATTAGTTGAATTGGCTTACTTCCTACTTTTTAATTTCAAGTACAGTTCATGTCCGACTGTCAGAATAATAAATAATTTGTTTTACAAATTTTTCAGGCACAGAATATAAGAAATCATTTTTTACAACGTATCAACTGCTAAAACGTATCAACTGCTACAACGTAATCTTCGTTAATTAAATAGTAATTAATTAAATAGGCAACGTTAATTAAATAGTAACAATATTTTTATAATAATATATGTAAAAATATTTGTCGAATAATTTCTTTGAAACATTGAAAAATATAATGTACTATTGTATAAGCATGTAATTATAATTCAATACATAAGTTATCGAAACTTGTTAGTTTATTTTTAAGTTTTAATTTTTCAAAAACAATTAGGACAATTCTCAAACGATTGATAATAAATTATAAAATTTCCAATTTAAAGTCTTTTTTCGATCAATTCAACATCAACTTCGCAAGCTGCACACCTTCAAATAGACTCCACACTTTACCTTTTTCTCAATAAACTTTGCTATTTCACAATTTCATGACGTACACATGAGCAAACAGTTCCATTGGAGAAGCTTGCAAAAGTAAAAAAAAAAACGAGAACATCAAACAACGTTACGTCAAAGGAACAGGCGGAAAAGCTCTTTTCCCGAAAATAAAGCAGAACAATCACATAATAAAGAAATCGCACACAGTCTCACACGGGTGTTCCTATTTGATCCCACTGTATAAAGGGGAAGCCAAAGTGGAGGTAGAAAAGAGTGAGAGAGCGAAGAAAAAAAGAAACACAGCCACACAGAGAAAGCAATGATTGACCGCAGTAGTGGTGGAAAGCTCGTGATTCGCAATTCCCGCGCTACAACGTGCTAGCGCAAGTCAGCAAAGCGCGCGCGGGGCTTGAAAGAGTTGGTGTGTGTGTGTGTGTGTGTGTGATCGAACGGCTATTTGCCGCGTAAACATCGCGTTTGTCAGCCTCTCTTTCGCGCGCCGTCGAACCGTTTGGCACCTCTCTGAGTTGAATTCCAAATTTTCTACCCTTTCTATGTTTGTGCGCGTAGGCCTTGTTCACCAACGCAATGGATCGGTGATTATCTGACGGAACTTTTATAGTATACTGACTTTTGATTGCTTGCTGTTATAACTATTTTGCTTATCTGGCGGTTGTGATATCATTGTAGTCGATAGGCTGAAGTGAGGTCTTGTGAATTTTAATCTAATTCTGTTGCTTCTTTAATAAATTCAAGTTATACTTTCGTTTATATTTTATGTCACGGAATAAAATTATTAATTTTTATATTTTGATCTTATATAACTTAGTAACACATAACTGAAAACGAAAGTGTTTACGAGAAAATGCATTTCTGAATCCAGTTATTGTCAAACTGTTGCCGAGTCAAAATGCCTATGATTGTCTGTTCTTTTAAATTATATTTTGAAACTTTTGGATGATTTGACTTTTTATTGATTGTCGGTGAACCTTATTTTCTTTCTTACAAAAGCGTTAAGGCTACTATTTATATATGATTGTGTTTTTAAATGTTGTTGACTTTGAAGAAAAGTACAACTCATCGCCTGCTGATGTTGACAAAGGTGTAAAATCGTTTACAAGAAATGTTGAAAGCACTGAAATTCCGTATTCAAGTGTCAGGTTTTACACACTTCGTCAATGATTCGTCGTACGTTCTACGGTCCACGAGTGACTTTTACGATCATCCATTCAAGTTTCTGACAGATGTGGCGTCCTTTTGACGAGCGAAAGATGAATTTTCACGAGTATACTCCACCGCCGCGGTAAAGTTTTTTGAGAGAATAAAAACTCCCGGATTTTCACGCGCTGACGGCGTTGTGATAAGTCTGCAGCCATTTTCAGCAGCGCGGGATCCATAAAAATCGAAGCTATTTTTTTTTTAGTTCGCCGAGAGCTCTTCTCCAAAACTCGTTAATTGTATTCTTGAGCACGTGCTATGAACTTTTGACGGACATAAACAGAGATGTTTTATAACGATTTTTACGCTGGGATTATCGATTGCCAGTTCAAGAGTGTGTTCCCGATAAAAATATTATTGACGCTTTTCCAAACGGTGGTTTTATGGATTTAAACATTTTTGCTTTTTAGAGATTACAAAATTTGTTTTATAATAAAAACATGTTTGTGAAAAATTAGTCTTTGCGGTTACTCTGTATTGTCATCCAGAAAGCATATTGATTATTTAAAAATCAATGTTCAGAGCACATTCGCAAAGCAATTACCTTTACAAAAAAAAATAATATTAATTAACGTCCGAACGAATCCCATGATGCGCATTTAATCATCAGTATTGATCTCTCTTAAATCAAAATACCCAATTTGGTGTTGGTTTGAAATGTACGCTCGAGTGCGTTAATTTCATCGCAATCAAACGTTATTTAATCCCCAATACATACTCTTTAACAGCTCTGCGCGTAAAATATACAACGCGCGTTTGAATGCCGCGTTCATCCAAGCGTATGGCTAAAACGAATCCATGAGTCGCGAGTGCAATAATGCCGTTCGGTCCCGTTGAGACAAAAAAAAAACAAATAGTGTGGAGAGAAGGTGAGAAGAGCCGCGCTAATTCGCGAAGGTAGCATGGAGACGTAATGCGGCCAATTTGCGGCAGCCCCCGCGGCAATCATTAAATGTCCCGTGTACGAGCAGATAAAAAAGTTCTAGCGCGCTGCGAGAGAAAGAGAGAGCGTTTATCGGGCGAATGAAAAAGTTTCCCCCGCCGCGCGCGCTAAAAAATAGCTCTCCGGAAATCCTTGAAAACTGCAGCAACGACGCGGAAAGAATAGGACGGAAAAAAAAATGTTTATCGCCGGCGGCCTTTCATTGGCCGAGGGCCGATTCGAGTTTGGAAAATGGACCTTCTTGCACTTGCGATGTTTCGCTTGGGCTTTGTTTTATTATTTTTTTTTCCCTCGGCGTCGTTGCGCGCGCTTTGTCGTTATACGAGAATTGAAGCGATAGAAAGCAGAGTGCTTCGAGTTTACATCGTTGCCCTTTTTTTTTTTGTTTCCTTTCTTGAATTTTCCCCGCATTCTCGACTCGAGCGTCGACTTGCGCTTTGCCCTGCACTTGCGACGTGTAAAAATGGCGCGCGACGTAAACATTTCGGTTGGGCGATGCGCGTAAGCGAAAACCGGAGAGCCGAAACGCAGACGCAGGACCGTACAGCCGCGATTCCGTGGCTAACGAGCAAAGTGAACTTGGTATTCGATCGATCAAGCAACACCATTAATTCGCTCATTAAAAGAAGAAAAAGAAAATGTATGGAAGGAGAGCGGACGAACGAAATAGCTCCATCAAGCTTTCCACGCGAACATTTCGAAAACTCAGCATAATCTCCGCAGGAAGCCAGACGAAAAGCTTCGTGTAACAAAGCAGCGAAAGAAAAGAGCGGCTGTTACTTAATGCGCGTCAGTCAGAATATCCTCGGAAGTCACGTTATAACGCGTAGAAAAAGAAAGAAAAGCGAAAGGCCCGAGCAATTTGAGGGGGATAGAAAGGGAGACTGCAATGCAACCAAACAGATCAGACCCTTAATCCTCGCGGATATATATTCCTTTTACGTCCGGCTAGCGCAAGCACTTTTTCTTCTTTTACCTACTACCTATCTTCGTGCTTCAACTCTCTATATATTCGTTTTTCACTGGATCATTCTTGATAGCTGCTCATCTTTATTTTGATAATAAAACGCATAAACATCTCCTTGCTAATGATAACAGATTCATTGTTGAACAGTCGTTCGATGTGATCCAATTTGCATATCCACAACTTCGACGTGAAAAAAAATGCAATGAACAAGGTTACTAATTCGTAGTCTCTTCAAGGAAGCTATAGCCAAAACTACTGAACGTCAAATATACAGTTATACGAGTAAAAAGAGTTGTATGGTCAGTAATGAAGCTCGCAATTGGCTGTGATAACAGAAGTCCCTCCAATTCCACCAACGAACGAATAACTATTAATATCCTCACTTGTAGTGTGAATGACGAGTTGGTCTCGCAGTCGAGCACTGACAATCAGCGCGCTGACACGCGCATCAGGAGCGTCGAGGAGCCGATGGAACGCTGGCAGGGCAAGGTGGCCGTGGTGACGGGTGCGGCGAGTGGAATCGGCGCGGCGATAAGTCAGCGCCTGCTCGATGAAAATGTGCAAGTGGTCGGCTTGGACATTCAAATCGATCGGCTGCTAGAAAAGGCCAAGAAGCGGCTGGAGTTAATGGAGAACGGCAAGTGCGGCAACTTGTTCTATGCGCTGAAATGCGACGTTGCCGACGAGAGCGACGTCGCCGCGGCGTTCGAGTGGATCGTGGAGAAACTTGGCACTGTCCATGTTTTAGTGAACGACGTCGGAGTTATCAGCTACACTCCAATTATCGGTGAGTTTTAATTGTCTGCGTGTGTGCTTGCGCGTCGGTAGAGTCGACGCGGCGCGGGCGGAGGCGCAGACACGTGTAATTACAAACTAACAGAGACGCGCCGTCTCTATCGGCGAATATACTTGGAAACAGAGAAGAGCTTTGATGTTCGAGAATGCTAGCGGACGCACAAGCATATTCACGATACGCGCGCCCAAACACGTGTGTCTCGCGCAAACCTATATAATATCGCTGCTACTGGCTTTATTAAATTTGTATAGATGTGCATACGTCAAGGCTGACACGCGAATGTGCAGCAAATAGATACATGCTGCTTGCTAATTCCCCGATAAGTTATATGGAATTGATCGCCTATCGCATCAATTTACACGAGCAGAGTGGTGGATCATCCAACTGATTACATTTGTCAAGTTTCGTATAATGCACAGCTGGATTGGAACATCAAAATTGCTTCTCAAGTTATTCTGCTTCGGTCAGCTTTTTGTTCTAATACGGTCATGACCAATTGACTTTGATCTCCAAAGTACGTCGATGGTTATCAGTTATATAGTCATGAAACTATATTTACAATTTTCCGAGTAGACGCGCGATTTCACAAACAAGAATTACTCAACGAAATTCCGCATGTCAAACGTAGCATCCGTTCTAACGCTCCATTTAGATTGACGCAAAGCAGAAATGAAAAGTCGTCGAGTGACATTAATGAATTATAGAAAAAAAAAAACATTTGTGTTCGCACGGATAAACTTTATCCTTGGCATATTTATGCGCAATATGTCTCTACTAAGAATAAAATATTTTTCTATCTCGCGAATAACTTGTAAAAACCATCCAAGCAGAAAGAAAAAAAAAGCATCGCCTCCGTTCTGCAAACGCACAGAGACAGCTGTATTCAATTAAAACCACGTACGCAGTCTCGCATATATTTTCATCTTTGCATTTTCAGAGAGCGACAGAGCATCGCTTGAACGACTGTTAAATATTAATGTGCTCGCTATGGCAAGCTGCACAGCTGAGGCCGTCAAATTGATGCGTAAAAACGGCGGCGAAGGTCACATATTCAACATCAATAGGTAAGAAAGCAAATAACAGCTATCGTATGCGTTTGGGTTATATTATGTTTGCGGTCGTGACATTTGTTGAAAATTATATAAGTGTACTGGGTCACGAGATACCCGAAACACCGCTGTCGGACAAGAAAGGTGCCAATGGCTATAGCCTGTATCCCGCTTGCAAGCATGCGACTGTAGCGATGACGCACAGCATCAGACGTGAGATCAAGCTGACTGGGGCACCTATTAGGATTACCGTGAGTTGATTCGAAATGTTTGTTTAGCTATTCAACAAATTACTCATTGAAGAACATTTTTTTCATTTTCAACTCGAATGCTGGTTTTTCATTACTTACTAGATTTTTAATATTTATAGTTATATCGCGATGCTGCATTAGGCTCCAAACAAATAACAATTTATAAATAATCTTAATCAATGGATGATTGTAACATTGCTGTAAACAAAATAATCTCAGAACATGTATTACTTAAGTGCTTTCGTAATCATGTTCTTGCAAATTGTTTCAGTTGATTGCAGCATTATCGAAATTATCGAAACGGTCGTCCTTTGCGCGTATTACCACGATCTCAAGATTCATAAATAACGAAACCATAAATGGAAACAAACAACGTGCAACGACTAAAAGCTCGCTTCCTTTTTCACAAGACAAATAATATTTGTCACGCGCGATCGATTCACTTTTATTTCAACGTGCATTTGATCGCGAAGCAGCCAATAAGTGTCGTGTGTTTTTTATTCTCACGCAGAGCATTAGTCCAGGCCTCGTAAAAACTGAGATATCGAAACACTGCGAGGCGTTGAAGGATTTATTTGATAAAATACCGGCCCTTGATCCAACTGACATTGCCGATGCGCTTATCTATGCTTTGGGCACGCGACCAGAAGTTCAGGTATAAATATACACATTTGACATTGTTTTATGGGTTTTTCTGCTTTTCACCATCCACGTGTGTTTTGCATGTTACAGATCACAGAAATCACGGTGAGGAGGACTGGAGAACCATAGGAGCTATCGGTGATCTCCGGACGCAATGGAAAATCTTCCAATAAAAAAACTCAATGTTTATATATCTATCTGTTAATTAGTACGAAATATTCATTAATTGTTTTCCCATTTTTTGTAAATATTTTCATTTCGATTATTAAAAAATTGCAACTACTCGGACTAACGAACAAAATCACCTATCAAATCTCTTCTAAATTCGTAAATATTTTTCTATCTCACAAATAGCTTGAAAAAAAATTATCTTCGTAGGTGAGTAAAAATATTTACGCAAAGTAACTAAACGAAGAAAAAAATCACGGATCATAATATGATTCGCTAGTAGAAAGCGTGGCAAGTGCGCGCTTGTGTACATTTCATTATCGAGCGTAAGCTTCGCCTCTCTTCCTCTCTTATTTGAGATCCCCTTGATACATATATATATATGTATATATATATATATATATATACACACGCGTCCTCTCGTACCCGCGCTCGGATTATTGTTCGCGCATTAAAGACTCGAGTGTGTATATATACACGAAATAAAATTAACGATCGATAATAAGCTCGTCCTGGGTTATTAATTTTTGTTTGTTAGATGCTTTAGGCGAGGTTATTAGTGCGGCCGCTTGTTATGTTCTAATGAAATTTTCAGGACAAATTTGTATGTACACCAAGTAATTAGATTTTCCAAAGTTAAATATTATTAAATTATAATCAGATGGAGGATCGCGTCTGATTATTCAATGAATTAAATGGATCCTGTCGTGTACCATTAAAATGATTTTAATAAGATCCTTTATTAATTTTGAGATTGACCGTCATTATACAACAATGAATCTCTCCTAAAAGAGAATTAGAGAGTAACATAATGTGATCGAAGGTAGTTCAAATCCGACATGATTTGATAACATTAAATGGCTTGAATATTGTATTAATAATAATTATTATATTTGGTCGGTCGTGTTGGATGCCTCTCTGCGTAATTACCAATTAGCCGAACACACAAGTGTCCTAGATTTTTAAGGTCCGCTTGAAAGTGACACACACTCGTCCCGGTAAATACTGAGACAATTTATGGTACGCGGACAATAAGCATCATAAATAACAGTGGCACTCGCAGGCCGAGAACGAAAGGAGAGAGTGGCGTCCAGCCAGAGAGAGAGAGAAAGAGAGAGAGAGAGAGCGATGAAGAGGGATAGGGGTAGGAGGGAATACACCGCATAATTTATCTCTTTTCAAATTCAACGCGCCACCTCGATAAATTTGCATGCTTTAATGGAAACGCCGAATTTTCCCACTCTCGCTCGTTCGCAAACTCGAATAATAAAATCGTCGTAATCAGCGTCCTTCGGCTTCGCGCGCGTACGCGCGAGAGATGATCGGTGCGCGATTCGCTTTGTCGAAAGCTGCCTCGCGCGCATCGATTATTTTTCCGTGTCGCGCCGCGCTCTGCCGCTAAATTATTGATAATTCCCTAATTGGGAATGCCGATATGATAAATTGCCTCGGGCGCGCGCACGATCGCCGTGTCGCTTCTCGCTTTGCGTTTCCTTGTCCTCGTCGGCGGAACGAAGAGCGTTAATTGGCGTGCGCCGAGTCGAGTTGACCGTAATGCCGGTACGAACGCGGGGAAGAAGGTGGCGCCTAACGAGATTAACCGAGTATCAAAATTGAGAAAGCGCCGGCGAGTAGGTAGCTGCAACAAAAGCGAGAAAGAGATGGGATAAGATCGGCGCGCAAATTCGCGCTTGCGAGAGAGATCGCAAACGAGGCGAGCCAGGCGGAGCACGTATCCGCGTAACGATCGCCGTTCCCGTAACCACCTCACGGCCCATAACACCGACGCTGCCCATTCGCTCCGCTCTCGGCTCGCCATACGTTACTTTTGTTCTCGCCCTCCCCCTCCCCGCCGCGCCGAACAACGCAATACTACCGCGTGTTTGTGCGAGCAGTACTTTATCGTGCTTGTTTTTATATCCTGACGCGGATCTCGCACCTTAAACTTGCCAATCGACGAGCTGTGGCGAGCTATATTTAGTTACAAATTTGCGAGCTACGTTGCTGTTCGACAGGTTGGCTTGGGTTTGCCGGTATCGGCACTGAGCAGTTTGCGGTGTTATTACACTTGACCATGTTTTATGTAAATTCGGTCGTTATTAAACGACAAATATTCATCTACGAAGCATTTTCTTCCATTCATGGTTATTAGAAATTACAATTACTGCTGAATGATGTAGTATTTTGAAAATAAAAAGGTAATTTCGTATTTTCTCAAAATAAAAAATTGCATCGGAGTCTCGCCTGTTGCCGCGTACATTAATCGATTGCGATCGCCAAATCCACTGGCATATATAATGGCAAGCGCAAAAGGCAAAACGTAATACGTTAGCACGGGCTCGCTGCAAGCTCAGGATAAATCTTAAAGAAGAGCCAGGGGCTACGAGAGAGAGAGAGAGAGTTTGGCGTTTTCCTTGCTAGTGGCGCGGGAAAGCGGATTAAGCAAGCCCTTTCGCAGCCATTACGCTCCAAGAGCGGAGAAGGACGCAAAAAGGAATATCTTATTATTAATTTCTCCCGCCGATGTAATCGCTTTACGTATGGATGGCTGGCCGTTTTGCAGACCTACGGCTATTAAGCTTGCCCAGTCTACCGGAAGACCCGCACGTATAACCCGGCTGCAGGGGAGAGACAGAGAGGGCTTGTTATTTTGCAAAGTTGCCACTTACAACGAACACGTTGTTTGGCTCTTAAACGGATCCGCAGTCGATTTGCAGTATCATCCGATATCTCGCGTGTAACGAAAACGAGACGTATTCTTGAAAAACACAAGCTCGCTCGGTCGAAAGAAAAAGTGGAAGGAAAAAAAAAAAAAAGAGAGAAAGAGGCCATCGCGCCTCGGGGTGCGTGCTATACAGTTGCGTCCCCATACGCGCAGCACTATTTATCTTTCATTCGCGTGGAAAAACTTTGCGCCATTCTCTGCGTGCTTTCCTCCGTCGCGGCGCGTCGTCGCCGTGCCTATAGCTGCCGCCGCTTGGAGGCACGCGACGCGTTCGCAACCTAGAGAATACTCCCGCTCGAGCACCCCGTGTACGAACTTTATAGAACGGACGTGCGCTAAATGTTTGCGAAACTGTGCCTCTCCGCTGCGTTGTGTCGGTGAATGCGTCATGTTTGTACCTGCGACCTGGCCTGCTCTACTTTTGCGCTGCTCTTTCCTTAGGGCCGTTCTGTTTTGCATGCTATTCTTTTCCTTTTGTTATATCATTTTAAGGCAACTTTTTCATTCGATGGTGTACTACTTCGGGAAAATAGCTTTGAGATTGTAATGCTTGCAAATGATTTGTTATTTATTTCTGTATTTTTGTAATCGAGTGAATTATTGGAGCTACTTAGAAATGAGCCTTAGCAAAAAAATTAAATTAAAAAAAATTAACCATTCTAATTAATACAGTATAGACAAATATACATCTTGATATTATTCTTAAAAGTTATTCCTTCATAAAAAGCTAGTATAAAATATTTTCTTACTAGATGATACCTTTGATCATAGAGGGATTGTCGTTTTCATATAGATAATGTGTTATATTACAAGAAGATATTGTATATTTCGTGGTGAATCATGACTAAATTTTATGATTAGTTCCATTACTCGTCTTTAGCGTGTTTCATGTGTGGTTACGCTATATTATGCACAGGTACAGTGATAGTAAAAAATGAAGTAATTTTATAACGGAATTGATTAAGTATTGACACAATTACTAGTAATAGAAAAAATATATATAATGAATGGATTAATTTAATTACTATCATTACCATAGCCTCAAAATAATTAAAAGCAACTAATTGCATTTCATAATCACCACGGTCACAGCATCTCCAAAGCAAATTGCATGAAATAATTAACGACGTTCCTTATAAGCCCTTCCTCTTTAGCGTAAAGGAGCACGACAATAATGGAATCACCCAGATAAAATTTACCCTCCATAATCACAAAACAACGACATCAGCGTTCAAAGTGCATACTTAAGGTAAACATTGCCGTCGACGCGGAATAAATGGAAGCATGCGCCGTGTCGAAAATGAAGTGGTTGCATCTTCGAGAAGCCCAGCAGAAAAAAAGAGAAAAGAAAACAAAAAAAAATAGAAGAAAAGAGGAAGAGAAAGTTGTTTCTAGGGGAGCGTCGAGTGGAGGTGCGATCGACAAAAATGCCAGAGCATGACGAGGGTTGCAGCTTGGAGAAGACTCTCCAGTGTGCAAACGAAGCAACATTGACGACTGAATGTCACGTTGTCGTTGATTTGAAAAGTATGTTTTTATTGTATTACGACAGAAATATGCTTACTAATAACGCTAGTGATTTGGATTTTTCAATGTATTAACAAAGCCAATCCTTATTAACTGGTTCTTAACGAAATTATAAAAGCAAAATATCATACAAACGGCAGCATTTTCTCATTTTTCAACAAGACAACGTAATCAAGGTAGCACTGCCATGCATAGGAACAAGGTTGCAACTATGTCCTGCACCCTCTACTCTATAGTAAGAGAGCGCATTTGCCGCGTTACTGGAAGCTTATCAAGCAGCCGGAAAACGCAAGCTTGGAGCATCACTGTAATTGAACGGCCCGCGTGCTCGGTCCTATCGGTGTAACAGTGAGTGAGTGAGAGAGAGAGAGAGAGAGAAAAGTAGATAAGCAGGCGCTCGTGTTATTCGTGCCCGATCGATCGCTTACAAATCCGGATTATCCGTGGCGATCGCGACGAGAACCTGATGCTATACTCTCACTACTCTCTGCAGTCTCTGTGTTGCAGAAGAATGGGAGAGAGGGCTTGTATCTTTTGGACGAATGTGCCGATAGATTTATAATTTTCACCTATTTTAAAATATTTTTTAATTTTTTAGTCGTTTGTGGTCGGACGAGATGATCGATAATATAAATGGAATATGACTATTTCAACAATTTTTCATTATTCAAAAACCTTATATTCGGTTTCATTAATCTTGAGAATTTTAAGTTTAAAAAAAATGTTCTAATTACAAAACTCTTACTGAATTATGGAATTTATTAATTCTAGCCTTGACGCGGTTTAGAAACGGACTTTGTTCGTTACATGAATTCAATACAAATTTAATACAAAACACAAATATTTTAATACATAAATGTTACCAATA